CATTCTAAAAATGCAAAAAAAAAAAAAAGACATGTGAGAATTTAGTTGCATGGAAAAAAATCAAGAAGCCAAGGGGAAAAAAAGAAAAAAAAAATGAGAAAAGAAAGGAAGAGGGAAAAGTGTGTGCGCGCACACACAAAGAAAGAATATAACAATAGGGGCATATTTGTCCAATGATTCTTAGAGTCGATAAAAAGGTATTAAATGTTGATAAACAAAATTGAATGGTGCAAAGACAGACAGAAATAATAGGGGGGGAAGGGTGGTTGATTGGGAGCAGAAGTATACACTACAAGAAAATTGTTCATCAGTGACAACACAAAGTCATCGCAGAACATACAAATATCGTCACAAATATCTTTTATTGATGACTTTTTGATCGTCACAAAGTCGTCACTAAATCCCCGTCGGTAAAAGTAAACAGTGACGAACTAAAATATCGTCACTAAATAGTTCTCATTAGTGACGACTTTAAGTAGAGCATTTTTGACAAAAGATCAAGTCGTCAATAAAACACTTCCAGATTGTCGTCACTAATGACAACTATTTAGTGACGACCTGAAATGTCGTCACTAAATAGTTGTCATTAGTGACGACAATCCGGAAGTGTTTTATTGACGAATTGACCTTTTGTCAAAAATGCTCTACTTAAAGTCGTCACTAAAAAGTACCGAAAGCCATTGTATATAACTATTTTTCTGACAACAATTGTCGTCACAAATGTCGCTTAGATTTAGTGACAGTCTCTGTTGTGACAAGGAGTTCTTATTTTCTATTTTGTGACAACTTTTTTTTGTCATTAGATAATTTCTCAATAGCTTAATGATCATAATTTGGCCTGTAATCATTGCTAAATCATTGATTTTAAACAAATCATACAAATAAATATGAACGATTGACAACCAAAAGTATTTGCATTAGATTACATGGTAATAATATAGCATTCTCAAATGCCAAATTCAAGTGTACATTACCCAACTAATGCCTACAAAAATAACATTTGTCCAAAATATCACTTGTACATAAGGTACATTTACAAAAGCAATCACAGTTTAAGAAATTGAAGAACATCTAAATGAACCACTCTATGAGCAAAAGGCAATTTTGTCTTCAACATTCTTCAACCATAACCATAAATATCTTCCAAAAACTAGTATGAATAGCATTAATCTGTCATAAAAGAGTAAAAGAAGTAGGTAAGGGGAGGAGTATAATAATAAAGAACAAGTAATGAGACTTAGATTATTAAGACAAAAATTACAATTCATTAAGAACCTCATATAATTTGGGCCCACATATTACAACACCAGCAAGAAGTTAGAAATCACAGTCCAATCTATACAAATACAACACTGCATAAGCTCAACTAAAGAGCTCTCTAAAACAGTTTTTTTTTTATTTTCTTTCTTCTTCTTTAAATAGCTCAACTTATTGAACAATTAAATTGGACTCCCACAGTAATTATTGTTTAATCTTTATGCTTTTGGTTGTTTATATATTAAAACACAGAAAGCAACTTATTGTACGAGGTGTGAACACAGGAGGTACTAGCCCTCTTTGATTTTAGGAGTTTATGCTTCATAAATCATGAAGGAAACGATGCCTCTGTAGGATTAAACTGTACAAAGAGAATGAGCTATTTGCCTCACAATGTGAAAGTGAAGACCATCTAAACAGGTGAAACCAATCAAAGTTCACAAATGCCCCCTTTGCATTATATTCATTTCTTTCAAGTCACTACATAGGCAAAAAGAAGATTGCTATCCATGCATCGTCTGTCGCTTGTACTTGGAAATAATATACTATTGCAAATGAACAATCAGATTTTTACCTCTCTATTGATAAACTAACAGCACTATATACATGATACCTAGATATTTCCCAAAGAATAAGTTCAGATAACAATGATGCATAACATCAGCCCCAAAAAATGTTATTACACAACCATCAGCCCCATAACCATAACCATAAACTACACAACCATAACAAAAAATAGTCCACAATGATGGATAACATCAGCCCCAAAAAATGTTATTACCAGCTATTACCAAAAAATAGTCCACAATGACCACAAGTTACCAAAAACTACACATCAGCCATAACCATAACCATAAACTACACAACCATAACAAAAAACAGTCCACAATGATGCATAACATCAGCCTCAAAAAATGCTATTACCAGCTATTAACAAAAAACAGTCCACAGTGACCACAAGTTACCAAAAACTACAGATCAGCCATAACCATAACCATAAACTACACAACTATAACAAAAAATAGTCCACAATGATGCATAACATCAGCCCTAAAAAATGCTATTACCAGCTATTTCCAAAAAACAGTCTACAGTGACCACAAGTTACCCAAAAACAGGTCACATCAGCCCCAAAAAATGCTATTATAAAAAATAGTCCACAATGATGCATAACATCAGCCCCAAAATCAATAAGTTAAAGGATCAGAATAGCAACAGTTCACATTAGTATTGTAATTCAATTATTCGTATGAGAAGGATGCATTACCAGCTATTACTACCAGATGCATTTCCATTGCCTTGGTTCTTGGACTGCAATTCTGCTCGTAAAGCCTTGAGGAGTTCCTGCATTTCAAGCTGCTGGTTTTGCATTTCAGCTTGTTGATTCTCAAGCCTTTGCATCAGCTGCTGTTGAGATTGGACTTGAACTTCCAATTCAACTGATCGTTTCTCAGCTTGTTTTGCCCTTTTCTTGAATTCTTCTATCTCTGCAAGTTTTTGTGTAATTAAACTAGCCTTGGAGGGGCCACGGCCACGTACATATCCAGTTATATGCCCAGTCACCTCAATACAGATGTCTTCTTCGGTTCGATTTACACCACTAGATTGAGCTTCTAGCTGTAACTCCTTCATTTGGCTCTACAATCACAGGTTTGCTATTATTGATATATGCATAAGAGACATGAAGCATTGGTATTCAGTTGAAAGTGATATTTTTCTTACCAGTTTTTCAGTTGATGTTTCGTCAACCATAGCATTCTTCTTTCGACTAAAATGTGTCATGTCATAAAGTTCAATTGGTCCAACTGTCCTTCCCTCCTTAGCTTCCTATTAGCAAAACAGGTTAAATAACCCAACCACACATCATAAATGAACTACTTTACACGTTTACTGACCCGGTCATCCTTATGACGTAAAAATGATTTTGTTCCAGCTGTATGGGCAGTTTGCTGCTTTGATCTGTTCAGCTTATTTCGCTCACTTAAGGCCTACAATTGTCAATTCTATCTTAGATCTAGATAAAAAAGAGACATTGGCAAAGTATATAGCAAATTAACAAGTATGTGCTACATACCTTGAATTCTGGACTACAATAGTAATCGCAAAGGTAAATCCAATCTGATTCTTCCACATATTCTGGTCGACGTGTAAGAGCTTCCTCCTTAGAGCCACCTTTTTTGAATAGCATGTGAAAATTATAACGTCGACTTCTATACTGTGAATTTAATTGCTTAATTAAAGCTGGTTTCACATGCTCTCCTCTATCATAAGTGAAACTATTCTAAATTAAAAATAGAAGGACATATCAAAATCAGAAAAAATTAATGGACTAATTTAAATTGCGTCTAGAAAACCAAAAAATACTATGATAGCAGATTCTTACATTAGTAATTCTTAGCAGTTGATCTCTATCATCTTTAGGAAGCTTGCCCCATTTAGGTGCTTTCCACTTACCATACTTTCGAATAACGCAACTTGCATCTGAAATGTATCGTTGAGCACCTTCTCCAACTAGTCTTCCACTTATTTCAGAAACAATAATGTTCACCTTTTTTCCAGCTTTCCTTTCATTTGATAGTGCAATATTACGCGTATATCCTCTTTTTCTTTTTAACGTCACTTGGTCTAGTAGATACAAAGTAAACAAGACCATAAGTTCTAACAATAGCAGCCATGGCAGTAATTAGTTAATTAGAGTAGAATTACACGTAAAACTGACATACTTGAACCGTTTGACTCAAGGTCTTGCATACTTTCAGTTTCATTGCTTTCACAACCAATAGCTTGATTAGATCCAACATGCTGTGAAGTAGGAGTTCCATCAGTTTGCATCCCAGCAGCTTCTTGTGATGTCATTCCATTGCCTGAAGATTTTTCAGCAATCTGTCTACTCTCAGCTTGTATACCTGAATTTCTTGTAGCATTTTCTCTAGCAGAGGATGCACTAGGAATCTATAATCCAGCAATTTAAGCCACCATTATACAGTGACATGTAAAAATTGAATCAATTGCTTTGTCATAAACCAGTTTATCTAAATGGCAGATTGAAAAAAATAATAACTAACCTCAGATTCATCAAATAGACAGATCCTAGAAGACTTTTTGTTAATACAAGTTCAGTGACATTGCTTGTCTTGGGAATTGCACTATTTTTTGGTTCACTAGCTTGCTACAATAACATAAGAATGCGCTTATCAATAATAACTAGTTTAGGATGATAATTGCTAGTTTAGGAAAAAAGAAAATATCTGGAAATGACTCTTGTTTCTTTACCTGACAGCTTACATTTTCTTCAGTTTGATCCACAATTCCTCGCCCAGCATCCTGATTTTGTCGTAAAGTAAATTTTCCCTTTTTCCCTGGTCCAGCCATCTATCTATATAATCATATAACGCAAACACCACCAAAATCGTAAACAACACAAGCAGCCATGACAACATATCATAAACTACAGAAAAAATACAAGAAAAAATTTGATTAAGAAATTCAATGAACAACAATGTTTAATCTGATTCATAGTCATCGATTTGTACAAATTGTTCATTTACCTCCTCAGAATTGAATTGTTGCTCAATTTCCTCATCATTATCAATAAAATTGTCATCCAATTGCCTTGCACGGCTAGCTGACAATTCTATAAAAAACATAGCACCAGCCTCTATCCTTTCTTCAGTTTGCACATCTCCTCTCTTCAAACTGACCAACTCAAGATTTTCTTGTACACCAATCAAATCTCCATGATACTATTCTTGGTAAGCCTCTTCGTTATCAACCAAATCATCTTCATGCTTCTCAGGAACATCATAAGATGAGCGTGGACTAACTAACTCTACAACATGCCAATTACCTCCAAGCTTCGTATCTTGAAGATAGAAAACTTGTTCAGCTTGGGATGCTAATATAAAAGGTTGGTCTGAGTACCATGTTTTTGACATGTTGATGCTAGTGATATTGCTCTGCTTGTCTACTTTGATTCCCGAATTATTTCTCAAGTCCCACCAATCACATTTAAACACAACTACTCGATTTTGAGTAAATGAGTATTCAACCTCAACTATATCAGTAATTATACCATAGAAGTATGTTTCTTTATCAGCATGCTCCCCCTTTACCATAACTCCACTATTTTGTGTCTTTCTTTCTCGTTCCCGAGCCTTAATGTGGAATCTAAATCCATTCACATTACAGCCAGCAAATGTATTGACTCGAAAATCAGGTCCTCTAGCCAAGGACAACAATTCATCAGTACATTCTCCACGTGCATGTGTATACATGACCTACATCAGCCATACCAGATTCTTTAATAGTTTACTAAAATAAAAAGGAAAGGAAATTGACAAGTTTTTAACATCTCTTCCAATACTTACACGTTCTTCAAACCACTTTGGAAACTCCGAGTCTAGCCTTTGCTGTACGCTCGATAAATTTTGCTTTTCAAGAATTTGTCTATGCTCCCTAAATTTGTAGTAGTAGAAATAGTTACATATTCTATCAAATGACTTTAATTACAAGCAATGAAGAACATATTATAGAACACGACATATTTTTTTCCTGCATTTCCAGCTCATCTAGATAGGGAGTTCGAGAACAAATTTTTCGAAAAAAATTGCTGATCTCTACTAAAATCTGAGCTACATCTTTTGACAGCATTCCTCTAGTTGCTAGTGGAAGAAGTCGTTGTATGAACACATAGTAGTCATGACTCTTCATTCCTAAAAGTTGACACTCCTTGGTCTTCACACACCGAGGAATGTTTGAAGCAAAGCCATCCGGGAAATTGATAGTGCTCAAAAACTGGTAGAAATTCTTTTTCTCTAGGCGTGATAAAGTGTAACATGCAGGTGGCATAACTTTAGATGCGCCACCTCCCGGTTGTAGATGCAACTCTTCCCTTAATCCCATTTCTTTTAAATCCTTCCTAGCCTGCCATGTGTCCTTAGTTCTCGAAAGGATATTCATCAATGTACCTACCAAAGATTCACATACATTCTTGACAATGTGCATAATATCCAAATTATGTCTAATTTTATTGGTACTCCAATATGGAAGTTCAAAGAATATGCTCATCTTCTTCCAATTTGAACTGTTCTGCACGCATTTTCTTTTCTTCTGTTGCAACAAATCAGGTGCCTTGCCAAACTCAACTTGCTCAATACGAAGAAGTTGTTGGAGGACTTCCTCACCTGATAGGGTCCTAGGAGGCTGTCTATGTTCTCTTTCTCCATTAAATTGCTTTTTTTCTTGACGCCATTTATGATCAATAGGCAGAAAACGGCGATGGCCCATGTAACAACATTTGTGACCATTATTAAGATATAGACTAGTCGTCTCATCTAAGCACACAGGACATGCCTTGTACTCTTTTGTACTCCATCCCGACAAATAGCCATATGCTGGAAAATCGTTTATTGTCCACAAAAGTGCTGCACGTAACATGAACTTCTCCTCCCTAAAGGCATCATATGTCTCTACACCAGTGGCAAATAACTCTTTTAACTCATCAACTAGTGGTCTAAAGAATATGTCAATGTCATTTCTAGGTGCTTTGGGACCAGGAATAATCATTGATAGGAAAAAAAATGGATCTTTTAAGCATTTCCAAGGAAGTAGATTGTAAGGAACAAGGATAACAGGCCATATACTGTATGAATTGCTCATGGTTCCAATGGGATTAAAGCCATCGCTAGCAAGTCCTAGCCTCACATTTCTAGGATTTTCAGCGAAGGACTTGTGATTTCTATCAAAATTCTTCCAAACTAATGAATCAGCAGGGTGTCGCATCATGTTCTCATTATCTACACGTCTCTCCTTATGCCACCTCATATCCCGAGCAATCTCTTCGTTCACAAACAGTCTTTGCAGCCTTGGTTTTAATGAAAAATAACGCAACACCTTTCTAGGTATTTTGGAATTTGGAGATTTATACCGCGGTGCTTTACATTTTTCATTTGGACAATGATCAAGGCCTTTATTTTCATTCCAAAAAAGTGCGCAATCATTTTCACAGGCGTGGATCTTTTCACACTTCAGCCCCAACTCACGAATGAAATTTTTTGCCTCGTAATATGAACTGGGAATCAAAGCTGTAGGAAATACTTGATGCAAGAACTTCAACAACATATCAGTAGATTTACAAGTCCACCGATTCATTGTTTTCAAGTGGAGGATATGGACAATAAACGAGAGTTTTGAATACTTTTCACAGCCCGGTATAGAGATTTTTCAGCCTCTGATAATAATCTGAGAAACCTACTTGGTTCTCCTTCTTTCTCGGTACAAGCACCCGTATCAAGTTCCGGTGAATGTCTCCAACTCTCACCAAAGTTAGCAACTCCTACATCATTTAACAGCTCCTCCATACTGTCAAAGTCACTATCGTTGTCATTTATTTCTATGTCATCATTCTCATCATCAGATTCAAACCCTTCGCCATGAAATATCCACCTAGTATAACTATCAACAATTCCTCGACACAAGTGATTGGTCATGACTTCCTTAGTTTGATCCTCAAAATTATTGCATACTTTGCAAGGACATGGCAGTTTACAATTAGGATCCTTGCCTAGAAAAGCAAACTTAATAAATTCATCAACTCCATCTAAATACTTGGGGTCTAGGTAGTTCTTAATAGACATCCAACTCCTATCCATATTGTTGCAGCCCTTTATCCTACCATAAAGAATATGACCACCACATTATATAGAAAACAAATGCAATGCAATATGAACTAAATTTAAACTCCTCAAATACCAGCAATGGGATCCAAGGTGTAAAACACATTTTTAGCAAAAATCAACCATCTCAAGTACAAATGCATTAGTAAGGCAACAAACTAAATACAATCTGTAGCCACAGTATACATGCAAAAGTTTGGCAAACAAAAGATAAAGCCATAACATGAATAATCAATTTCATAGGCTGATTTTGCTAGCTAACAGCACACTACATGTTCAAAAAACATAGGATCAGGCATCATATATTTGTAAAGGGAAGATGCCCAACGCAGAAATAATAGAAGAGTAAAGCACAAATATAAATTTCAAGCCTGAATAATGGTATGAAGGAACAGTACCTGAAACTCAGACCACTCAATTGGTTTCCTTTTCCTACCAAGAACAGGAGCTATTTCCAATCTTAGCACTGCTCCAGATGCAGCAGTATGTGCCTTTACAAGAACCTCCTTATATCTGGTCTGAAATGCAACTGTGAGAAAATGTCCAGTGCTTTTGTCACCAACCCTGTTTATCAAGAATATCCCCAATTATATGGTAAGCCACTAATGTCTTGTAGAGAGAGAGGGAGAGAGAGAGAGAGCGAGACTAGGTGGTCGTCAGTATGACGTCCTTTGCCGGTTGGCAAGACTTTCAACCATACCGTCCACACTTCACGGTGGAGGACATAAAAAACAAAACCGTTATGGTAATGACCATCTCTAATTGTCCGTTCCTTTGTTTATTGTTCTCTAAATCAGACTCCAAAAAAAAAGACTCCAAAATCGAATTTCCACAAAGAAAAGAAAGCCTATAAACTACTGGTTTTTGTAACACAACCTTTGCATTCATTTGGGTTGCTTTTACATACCCTGCCCAATGTCCAGAAAGAATAAATCATCGCAGTAAACAAGTAAACGGTTTTCAGTTATAGATGCCCCCTAGTGACTTGTCGGTCGATGGTTACGTTGTGCTTACGCTAAAATCTACCTCAATGTGAAAAATGAAAAGCCAAAATTGAAGCCTCAACAATTTAAAGCTCCCCTGTGCTTCCTCAACATAAATAGAGGGGGCAAAAGATTGGGAAAAAAAAAAAGAAGAGAAGAAAATGTAGTAGCATGGCTAACAATTTGACAGACGTTTAAGACTCGAATAGACAGCTTCTCAAACCTGATCGATGCACCAATCAAGCGGACTCCTCTTCGAAATAACGGACATCCAACTCAACGACCAATCACGCTTGCAGAAATGAACTTGAAACAAATCAGCCACAGGTTAGATGAATCGAGTCGAGCGGGGGGAGTTCCGAGTACAACATAGCTATGATAGCATCTAATAATCAAGAGCTACTAAAAGATTTTGGGCAGAAATTTGCAAAAAATATTGTAGAATATTAGGGATTTGGAAAAATTGGGGAAAATGTATAAGAGAGAGAAAAACGAACCTTTCCAATGAAAACCTTGCCCTTTAATGCTGGACAGCCATGGTGATGCTAGTGAGAAGCCAGAGAACGGATTTGTTGTGTGGGTGAAAGTATCAGGTGCCGTGCGGAAGCTCTGTTTTGTGCTCAGTGCAGAAGCTTGTTTGTTTCAGCTCGGTGAAAGTTTGTGTTGCTCAAGTGTTCCGTTACTTTAACTCAGACCAAGTGTTCCGTTGCTTTTGTTTTTAGAATGTGTTCCGCTGCTTTGGTCTTTGCTTTGCTTTGGATATTGTTTTTGTTGCGCAGCACTTTCACTATGATTTGATCAAAATTTTGACTTCACTCATTTTCCCTCCATTTGATACCAAAAATCATGTTTTTTTTCTGGATTTGTAATATGGTTTGAACCATAGATTTTAATGCTATAGTATTATTCTTTATTTTTTAGCAAAAAAAAAATTTTCATCAACATAGGTGGCAAAATTTGTTAATTTCATATAATTGAAAATGTACTTTTATAATTTGCTAATATTTTATACTAATTTCTTATAATTGCAGCACTAAAGAACATCATGTAATTGAAAATAATTAAACTCAAATTATATGGTTATAACATAGTTTCAATAAAAATAATCATTTTCCCAACATTTGAGACCAATCATCATGCTTTTTTTTATTTTTAATTTGGTTTGAACCATAGATTTTATTGCTATAGTATTATTCTTTATTTTTTAGTACAAAAACACAAATTTTCATCAATATAGGTGGCAAAATTTGTTAATTACATATAAGTGAAAATATACTTTTATAATTTGCAAATATTTTAGCCCTGCAATTTTTTATAATTGCAGCACTAAAGTACATCATTAATTGAAAATAACGAAAGTCAAATTCTATGGTTATAACAGACTTTCATTCAAAATAATCAAATGCTATTAATAAGACATTATTGTTAAGTCAAAATCAAAGAAAATTTAGTGATGACATAATGTTATCACTAATTTATTCAAGATTATAATGACAAGAAAAGTCGTCACTAATTAAATTGCTAGTTTTTAATATTGTCAATTGCTAGTTTTTAATACTTTTGTGAAAATATTGATAATGGTTGAGAAAATTTTGTTACATTACTGCAAGTGATAAATGTACTTTTGATATTTTTCAAACATTTATTTTAATGTTTAATTTTGTTTAAAACTATTGTACTAGTATAGATTTGCAAGACAAAACTTAAGTTCTCAATAGTTAAAAAATTCATTACAGAGAAAACACAAAGTAGTAGTTGCAAAATGTGTATAAATTACAGATATTTTAATATGTATAAATTACAGTTTATTTTAATGTTTAATTTTGTTTGAAACTGTCGCGCCCCATTTTTTTTGATAAATAAAAATAATGTTTAAAAAATGTATTTTTTGATTTAATTTGTGATTGGAAAATGAATTGTGATTTAAAAGAAAAATGGGTCTAAATGGGGGTTTTGAAAATGCGACGATTTGACCCAAAATTATAGTTTAAAAAGGGTTTTTGAAAAAATGGGAGTCGCCACTTGGTAATGAGTTAAGGTGTACCAAGTCACCTAAAAAATGTATTTTTTAAAGAAAAATAGGGAAAAGTAGTGAGAAACCCTTTTTAAACGACTCCTAATCTACGTAAACCAATGAAAAAGGTTCGGGAGTCACATTTGACAAAGGGGAAGGCAAGGATAAAATCCAAGGCACCCCTTTGACCTAGCCAAGGCTAGTTGCATGATTTAATCAAAGATTTTCTTGTTTTAACCAAAGAATTTATTACATTTGGATGCACTACATGAATGCAAAAAAAAGGAAAAGATGCAAACCTAAATTCTAAAATGTCTCTTGTAAGGCTTTTGGTCCCAACCACATGAATTGTGGCGGCCAATAAAGGAAAACCTTATAGAGGTCGATTAATGCAAATGATGGCTAAAGTGCAAGTGTGCAAGTGTATAAAAAGGTGAACGTGTGAAATTGTATAAAAAATCCAAGTGCTTGTGTGCAAGTGTATGAAAAGGTGCATGTGTGAAATTGTATGAAAAATCCAAGTGTTTGTGTGCAAGTGTGTGAAGATAGAATAGTACATATATAAGTGAAACTTGAATTTCATTTGTGAAGTAAAGTAAATAAATGATAAAGATGTAGTGAAAAAATATGGATTGAGAAATGTAAGAGAAATGTGATTATGAGAGTATGGAAGTGATAAAAATGAAAGTATGACCCTAGGGGAATGCAACAAGTCGGGTACGGGGATTGACTCCTAACTTTTCGACTTCGATTTTCCCTTTGATTAGGAGGCGAAACTAGCGTGCTAAGGCTATCGAGTAGCCACACTCGCTCGTTTCCCTTATCGGAAGGGGATTCTTCAGGCAAATGTACCCTAACTAGCATGAGATGCAAGACCTAAAGTGAGGGGAAAGGGGTTCGAGTATCATGCCAAATGATAAAACTAAGGAAAATGCGTGATATGTGGTGAACAAGCAAATGATGTACTAACGAGGGAAAATCCCTAAGGGTCTAGCGTTGGACTAGCCCATTCTATGAATTCCGACTAGCGTTGGACTAGTGGAAACGATAAAAGAAGCCACAACTAGCGTTGGACTAGTGTGGTGACGTACATTCATCCATTCCATTCATTCATGGTTATGAAAGCAAGTAGACATGCCAAAACGCTCGTAAACACGTAGCACGTAGCACTTAGCATGCTCGACTAGATGCAAGAGCCTACTAAAGCAATTTAACATGTAACAGCAAAAGCAAGCAACCAAGGGGAAGGGGAAGTGGACCAAATGCTCTCCGAGCCCTATCTATTACAAGCCAAGAGGTGTACACATACCCCATAAAACTTAAATAAAATTAAAAGCGAGTAAACGCATGCAAGGAGGTAAGGAAAGCGAAGTAGACATGCATATTCACATAACACGTAGGAGCACGTAAGGTCAAATGTAGTGCAAATGAGGGATAGAGTGTACCTCCCTTGAAGCGACGCCCTAACGTAGTGAAATTACTAACTTACCCTCCAAAATAATAAAAAGGTCAAGGTACCACTTAAATTATCGAATAATCACATGAAACAAGAATTAAACATAAAAGTGGAAATTAAGCATGAAATGATAATTAAAGATGGGATAAACCATGCAAGGGGGAGGCAAACTCGGTCCTAAATAAATAATAAAAAAAAAATCAATAGTCTAAAATGGAGTACGAAATTGAGTGGTCGAAGGTGGGATCCCTCGCAATTAGATGAAAAGGAGAAAATGGAAAATTATTCATTAAAGTTTAACAACAAAATTTAGCTAAGCAAAAATTTAAATCAAACGAAATCAAGACCACCAATGCTTCCAGGTTACCACGCTTTCATGATTGTGTCCTAGAAATCTATTAACATTGTCCACAAATCACATAAAAACATGCCAAGGCAAATTGTCATGTAAGAGGGAACTAATTGCAACATTAGTCACCCATTCGATCTCAATCGAAACACTTAAGAACTTCAAAGGTCCCCA